TTTCACAATAGCATTAAAAAAATTGAAATACCTAGGAATCCACCTAGTGAAAGAAGTCAAAGACCTCTCCTCTGAAAACTACAACACTCCGAATAAAGAGATTGAAGAGGTATCAGAAAATGGAAGGGGGTGAAGGGAGGGCAGGGGTAAGGGGAAAAAATGAGAATCAAGATGTCATGTAGAGGTACAAGATCCCAACAATGAATGTAACTGTACTGTATCCCTAAAATGTACCAATAAACTCAATTAAAGCTGGAAAAAAAATAAAAACAAAGCAAAAACAACCCCAAGAAGCATTTGTTTCCCAGTTCAATTAGCCTAACTGTACTGTCATACTTATTCTTTTCTGAGGAAATACTCTAATTGTTAACCCAGAGGTCACCTAATTTTTTGAAGGTCAGAATGTCACTATTGATATATCCTTAATTTTCAAAATACCCTCAAAATTAATGACAATGATTACACTCTGGAATCTGGAAAGCAAAGAAATAAATCCTTCCAACTTTGAACAAGCTGAAATTATAATTCAGAGTTTCTAATTCCTCAGGAATATATGTCCACACTGTTAATGAACTTCAGGGGAGTAAAATAATTTCCTTAAAATGAGTATTACTTGAAGTAGGCAAATGTATGAATATTTTTATGGTAAGCCAGGGCTTCTGATGTAATGATCTTCACTTTAAAAACCTATTAGACCTTGTCACCAATAGCTGGAGTGGGAATGAAATATACAGCATGTCAGTGTCAGATAAGAACAGTTTGCAAGTAATGAATTCATCTAACCAGCTGACAAAATGTTCACAAAATAAAACCAGTATTCTTCATTATTTGCTTTGCTTAATTTATTAGTCTTGTTTTATTTGTTTTGAATGATAAAAGAAGAATTGAAATGGGAACTTTAGCAAGTTGAATTAGTAGATATATTAAAATATTTATAAATACATTCATATAGATGCGCTTCATAAATACTATTAAAATTCTGTTATCTACATTGCACTTGAAGGGCAAAATCATTAGTTAAGAGCATACTCACACTATCCACAGTCCAGCTGAAGTGAATAAAGTGAATACAAGAGGTAGAAACATCCAGACGCTGCATTTCCTCCCATCCATGCCTGCACCGCTGAAATGATGTGAACAGACATTAATAATCAAGACCAGAGTCTACCTAACTCTTTCAAGATGAGAAAGAAGTCCAACTGGAAGAAAAAAAATTATTTTATGAAACTATGATTCAAGTCAGTGTCACCACTGCCACCTGCTTAGGTGAAGTTAAGGGATTGCTATCTAGCATTAAAGATTTAAGTCTTAGCTGTGATCTGTTGGGAAATTTCTCATAAAAACTTTTGTCCTTGTAAATACATCAGTACATTTAAGAAAGTACAGTGGGGCTGGGCTAGGACTTTCAGGAGAAAAGCTAGGAACCAAGATATATTCCAACCTTCTTTTAGTGCTGTTCTTAACATTTATGGATTTGTGACTGGGACATGTACGTCATCTACAGGCCGGCAGAAAGAGTGTCAGAAACAAATGGTTACTCAGTAAATTAACGAGGTAGAGGGGAATGACAAATGCTTTGCAAACCTCAGCTTTGAGCAGCTGTCTCTGCAGAGTCTAAAGATAAACACTCTGGGAAACTGCGTTAAATCAGCGCCAGGACACACTCTGGAAAAGCAAACATCAGACATTTTTGCTTATGTCTTTTTTTTGGTGGTGGTGATGGTACTAGGGACTGAATCTCGGGCTTTGACATTGGGCTACAACCCCAAGATTTAATTAATTAATTAATTAATTTTTATTTAGAGTCAGTGCCTCACTAAGTTGTTAAGTCACCCAGACTGGGCTTAAACTTGGAATCTTCCTGCCTCAGTCTCCCAAATATTACTATATTTTTAAAGCAAAAATATGTCAATTAGAATTCCCCCCAAATGAAGCGAAAGCTAGAAGCTTCAGATTATTGGTACCTCGGGAGCTGGCTCAGGATTGGCTACGATCAGGAGGCATCTTGCCTGTACTTTGTGACTTCCCTCCCTTTGAGCCCTGATTTGCCCTGCCAAAATAGCCCGGAGTGCAAGGAAATGCTCCTTGTATTCTGTTTATTGTAGACCTAGTTGACATGGTCCTAGCAACAGCAAGCTTGCATGTCCCTGTTCCCACCAGCAGCCTCAGAATGTACTAGAACAACACATTGCCAAGGACACCCTGACCCATCTCCTTGTTTGAACTTCCCCTCCTCGTGCCTTAAATAAAATGGCAGGTATCAAACCAAAAGAAATAATTAATTATCATTTTACATCTCATCCTTGCCTAAAAGCCTCAGACCAAATGTTAGATACACTAGATGCCAACATAATCTTTTCGGCAAAAACACAAGGTCTAAGAAAATAAAGTACCCGAGTGCCTTCCACTGGAGGTCACCTGACAAGCAGAATGCCAATGCAATGAAATGGTATTTCTTGGGAGACTTCAGTGCTCATTATTTTGAATTTTATGACTAGCTGCAATAAGTACATTTACTGGCTTTGACCCAACAGTGCCACGTGACCTCATCCAAGCGCAGACACCTGCCGAGACCCTGCGGCTGTCCAGAGGCTGTGATGTGAGCTCCCAGACCCAGCCTGCTTTCCTCAGCAGAGCCTTCTGACTAGGAGACAGGCATGGCCTAACAGCATATCTGTAACAGTTGTGTCTTCATCTAAACACTGTCTGGGCTGGGATGTCAAATTAGAGAATCTAGGAGCTAAAAGACACGACAGGCACTTTCAATCAATTTAATTTAATCCAATAGAATCTGATTCAATTTAATAATTATTGACCCTTTACTCGTGCCAGAAACTGTAAGGACAGTGGGAGTGCTGAGTGGTGGTCCTAATGGATACAACTCTTTCCATGCACCAGTCTGCAATGTACAGATATTCCTCATTCAACAACCTATTTAGCAATTGTTCAGACTTACCGCCGAGGTGGGCTGCTCAGACTTTCAACCTGCATGCAGGACACCAGAACTTGCGTGGCAGTGCAGCCCTGCGGTGGCTGCTTCTATAGTATGCACTGTCATGTTTTGCTGACTGTACTGTACAGGGCTGTAGTTCCGTGTTCTGTTACACAGTACAGTACTGCATGTGAGAGTTACGCAGATAAAAGCAAAGTCATCCGGCCGGAGTTTCCTTTGACCGTTTCTTTGCTCAGAGCACTGTAATGTACACACTATGGACAATTCCTCATTTGGCGACCAATTCAGTTAGTGACCTAACTGCAGAACTGGAACTCAGTGGTTCAGCAAGGAACATGTGTATTCAGCAGTCTGGCCTTCACTGAGCAGACCTGTTCCAAGACTCCCAGTGGATGCCTGAAACCAGATAGCACTGAACCCTACCTAGACTATGGTTTTTCCTATATATGATACATATGTGCATTTTCACTTAAAGGAGGTTTTCCCTAGATATACTTACATTCTCAGAGGAAGCTTCCCTTGGGCATATCAGAATTGCATCACTACTGGAGGGCTTTAGCCCATTATTAAACAAAATAAGGGTCACTTGAACACTGCACTGTGTTACCACAAGAGCTGCCATGCTGCCTGAGACCACTGCTAAGTGAGTAACGGGCTGGTCATAAATACAGTGTAGACACAGCAGACACAGGACGATTCAAGTCCTGGGCAGGATGCAGCAAGAAGATATGAGATCTCATCACACTATTCAATTCAGTATTTAGGAAATGCTTATCTGGAATTTTCCATTAAACATCTTCAGGCCATGGTTGACTGCAGGTATCAGAAACCATAGAATTGAGAACCAGCAGGTAAGGGGTCTGCTATAAAAGCTTCTGTCTGAACCAGGCATGTGTGTCTGAACCAGGCAATGTGGAAGAATGTGGACATTTTCAACCTGCATGATATGGCCAGTCGCTGCCTCTCCCTCTAGTTATGGCTGCAAAGATGTGGGCTAAGAAAGTGGCCAATTACACTAACAGCAATGGCTTAAGTGGTGACAGAGCAGGTAAACCTATTATTCTAGATGGGCCACTGCAGTCGGTGTGCGGCCAGGATGAGTTTGGCTGAGACAGTCACACCGGGCAGTTAGGAGCTTGAGTTTCCAACCACAGCTTCCTTGGGCCTGGGTTAATCTCCTCATATCTGTAATGCTATTTCCCTGCCTCACCTCAGGAAGACTGGTAGATTCAGAGAGAGGCAGAAAGACAGAGAAGACTGAGGCCTCCCAGGATGTAGAACCTCGGCAGTTAACCTACGTGAAGTATTTCATATCTTTGCTGTAACAGAAAGCTACAGTATACTCAGAGTTGTCACCCCTAGTGGAAACAGGGATCCTTTTTACACGTGATGGGGGACAGAACAGAATGCCAATGTATCAGTGTACAATGAAAAACACAGCTGTCAAATGGACAAGTAAACACTTGGCTCCCCTATTAGGACCATCTGTGTGGGAACCCAAGATTTGGAAGCAGGGAAGCAGAGATGAAGAGTTAATGAGCCAGCCCTAAGGCCACAGCAACGAGCCACACTCATGTCCCACACTGACTTCCAGCAAAGAAAGATGGACGGCGAACAGAAATGTCCAGCACAGCACTGGACTGACCTCCAGCCTTGCCATTTCCCAGCTGTGGGATCCTGGGTGAGTCCTTCACTCTCTAAGCCTTTGTCTAACCACAGAGGTAACTCCCATCCTGCAGGATTGTGCTGAGGATGAACGGTGCAGCAGGAAAAGCGCCGCACTCTTAACCAGTGTTCCCAAGCCTGACAACCGTGACCACCCACCAGGTCCACTTCTGTGTTGGGACAAGGTCCCAGGCAGGGCAGGGCTCAGGACAATGTAACACTTTTTTCTCTGGGCTCCCATTTTTCCAGAAGCTTTTCTTAAAAGGTGCAGACACCTTTCTTGATAGTAACATTTTTCTTCAAATGCCCCCCCCAAATCAGCACCATAACATCTTAATACTGAAGGTCTACCTTCCTGAGGTCCTACTGTTTTGCTATCTGTCATTGCGCACTACTGGTTTTTTCCCCACCCTTGGTATTGAAGATTAAACCCAGGGCTTTCACTGAGCTCCAACCCCCATCTCCTCTTTAACACGTTTTTTTTCTTTTTAGGATAGAATCTTAGGGGCTGGGGATTTAGTTCAGTGATGCCATCACCTGCCTTGCAAGCACAGGGTCCTGAGTTTGATCCCCAGGACCAAAAAAAAGAAAAGGACAGAATCTTGCTCAGCTGCCCAGGCTGGACTCAAATTTGCAATCCTCTTGCTTCAGCCTGCCAGAGCGGTAGGATTACAGGTATGCACCACGATGCCCAGCTCACTCATTTATTTTGTTCTGGAAGCCTCTAAACTGGCAATGGCTATGCACTTGTTTTATTTTTACTAGTTCAACTTTCATAGGGCAGCCTAAGTCCAAATTCTGGGAAAACAGCACTGTATCCCTTGTCTAACGATAGATGAAAACTGCCCTTTCTTAACTCTGACAGATGCGTTAGGTGAGAAGAGTGAGTCAATCAATCTGAATGTGCAATGGAACTATGCTGGTTCTCCTCAACTGTGCTTTTCTTTTCTCTCTCTTTTTCTTTTGATAATTATAAATTCACATGATGCAGCTGTGAGAAACAGCAGAGAGAGATCTGGTGTATCCTCCGCTGCCTCTTCTCTATGGCAGTATCCCGCAGAACCACAGTACAGTATCAGGGACCCAGAAATTGGCATTGGCACAATCCACCAACTTTATTTTGATTTTACCAGTTTTATGCACACTCCTTTACTTTGTGTATTTAGTTTTATATAATTTTATCAGTTGTGTAGATTTGTGTGAAAAATGAGCTTATTGACAATGTGCTTATCTGTTTACTCAACTATTTTGCTTATTTTCAAGTGGGGTTGTTGTTGTTGAGTTGTAGTTCTTTATATATTCTGAATATTAATCCCTGATCAAATATGAGATTTACAAAGTTTTCTCCCATTGTGTAAATTACATTTTCACTCTGCTGGAACTGTCATTTGAAGCACAGAAGTTTTTAATTTTTTTTTTTTTTGTACCGGGGATTGAACTCGCATCCTTGTGCTTGCAAGGCAGGCCACCGAACTGCTGAGCTAAATTCCCGGCCCTAGAAGTTT